TAGACGTGCCCTACAAGGGCTGGCACCTTATATCCCTCTTATCTCTGTGGCTGCATGGCCACACAGCCGCCTAACAAGCCCCATGCAGGGGCTCAGGGCAGCCACTCAGAGCACAGCCTCTGTCCATCTCCCAAACTTTTTTTGCTGTTGGGGAGATGGACCTCTCTTCCTGCCATGGTGCCCAACTCAGAGCTGTCCCACAGCTGCTGTGGCTGGGGAACAGGGCCCCTCCTCCAGCTATGCCCACTGGAGCTGCAGAAGCCATGGAGAGGTGTTTTTCACCTGGCCCCAAGCTGCTGTGGTGAGAAAGGGCTGAGACTGACCTCTCTCCCCAGGGCACTCTGCAAACTGAACCCCTCATTCGCAGCCCTACCCCACAGTCCACACTCCCAGCCAGAGCTCTATCTCAGCACCCAAACCCTCTGCCCCAGCCCAGAGTCTCGTCTCTTCACTAAATCCTTGGGGCCATCCCCACCACTGTTGTTTGTGTGCAGAATGGTTTTTGTTTTGTGATGCGTCACCTCCTTAATGGTGCACATAATAAAAGTCATTCTGCATGTGGACATACAAAATTAGAAGGAAGGATGGCTGGCAGCACCACCGACTATCATTCTATTAAGGGGGTGAAGGGCAGTGGTCCCTGTCAGCTGGGCACTTTTGCAACCACTTACGAGAGATTCCAATGCTGCCCAGATGATTAACAAAAAGCCCACTGCTAGGTTTTGTTTATATTGGTGGTGCACATCAACACAGACTCAGTGCACATAAAATTTATTCTGCACATAGATGGAAAAGAATAGAAAGAACATTGGTGGTGGTGGTGGGGGATGAAAAATACAGACCAAAGTGTAAACCCTGTTAGGGAAGTGAACCTGCAATAAATGCCAAGTGGTGCTGGCTCCTGGCTGGACTCTAATCAACCAAGAAAGTTTTGCTTTTAATGGGAACTGAAGTGAACAGGTTTTCTTTTGACCCTCCTACGGCTCACCAAATGCATGCAGAGAGCACTGGTGAACATGGTGCTTATCACAAGTGAAGAGATTAAAAAATTGAGTTTCCCTTATTAAAAACCACCTTACCCCAGCCATGATTGGTATTCCTGGCAATACTGCTAGGTTATAAAATGCCCTTTGAACATCTGGGACTCTGCAAATAAAACCTATGTTATGACTGTTTTTTATTTTAATAACACTAACTCTTTTGCATGTTTTTTTTCTCCATCCTTGGTTTCACACTGCCTGGTTTAGTTCATCTATTGTTAGATCAGACATCTTTCCAGGTTCATGCACGTTTTGATACATGCTAATCAAGCACATAAGGAAAAACTTAAAAAACAACAAATAGTCTGGTAGCACTTTAAAGACTAACAAAACATGTAGATGGGATCATGAGCTTTCATGGGCACAGCCCTCTTCTTCTGTTATAAAACTGAAGAAGTGGGCTGTACCCATGAAAGCCCATGATCCCAGCTACATGTTTTGTTAGTCTATAAAGTGCTACCAGACTATTTGTTGTTTTTTAAGTTTTTCCAGTTACAGACTAACTCGGCTAGCCCTCTGAACCTCAAGCACAGTAGGGTTAGGGGCAGCAAGCTGAAAGGGCCTCACAGCCAGCTGGATTGAAAAGTTCTATTCTCCCTTTAACAAAACAGGCGTCACTAGACAATCGGCTCCATTGACTCTGGCTCACTCCTTTCACCCAGTCTCCTTCATATCTTCCACAGCCCCCCGCACGCTGTGAACTAGCTCCTTTCACAGGCATTCTCTTCAGGTAATGCTCTCCTCTGTGCCCGGTCACCACAACTCACCTTTTTGCACAAGTTACTCACCAGTGTGTGAATTAGTCCCCTGAACACAGCTTGGAGAAGGACGCTGATGGCTGAGCCTTCCGGACAGACTCAACTGGGAGGGGAGTTTGAAGCAGCTGCTGCTGTAACTTTCACTTTCGGTATGACCCAGCAGATTGTGGAAATACTTTGCTGCACTTTCCCTCTTAGCCCACTAGAAGGAGCAGTGGCTCTTGGCTGGCAGGAAAGTTACTGATAACTGAACGCTTCTATAGCTGCAGTGACATGTGAAATTGTTCCTCCAAAAACCAACCAAACAAAAAACAACAACAAAAAAATACCCCTCCCCCTCAGGCCTGTTCTTGCCCTGCTGGATGTTACATCTAGACCCAGGCTTCTTGCACAAGAAGCTTTTTGTGGAAGAGACCTCGCTTCTTGCGCAAGAGAGCATCCACACTGCAAAAGCGTATAGAAAAAGCGATCTGCTTTTTCGAAAGAGAGGGTCCAGACGGAATGGACACTATCTCGCATGTAAGTTGCGATTGCTATGGACAGAATGGCCACCAGGGCACCTGTGCTTTTTCCTCTTTCCTCTTCTTGCACAAAAAGTTCCTCTTCCCCGTCCACACATGCCTTTTTGCAAAGAGCTCTTGCACAAAAAAGCTTCTTGCTCATAGAATGAAGAATATTAAAAACCAGAAAAACCCTTGGATCTTTCAATTTACTTGAGCAAAAATGTGCTTGAGGTGTGGATACTCCAGGTGGTGGAATTATCCCGATTTTGTATAGCGGGAACTGAGGCACAGGGAGACTTAGGGCTGGTCTATGCTACTACTTAAGTCCATGTTGCCCAGGGGTGTGAAAAAAACACACATGTACCCCAAGTGATACAAATTACAGTGACCAAAGCACAGCCCACACCGGTGCTACGTTAGAAGGAGTGCAGTAACTTCTGCTCTCCTATCAGCAAAGCGGGTCTTCACCAGATCCTCAACAGTGGGGCCAATGTGCCACTGCAGTGTAGGCCTGCCCAAGCCATATAGGAAGTCTGAAGTGAACAAGGACATGATCCTAGGGCAACTAAGCGCATCACTGCCCCACCCTTCCTCTCCTGGGCTACGTCTAGACTGGCATGATTTTCTGGAAATGCTTTTAACGGAAAAGTTTTCCATTAACAGCATTTTCGGAAAAGAGCATCTAGATTGGCACGGACGCTTTTCCACAAAAGCACTTTTTGCCGAAAAGCTTCCTTGCCAATCTAGACGCGCTTTTCCACAAAAAAGCCCCGATCGCCATTTTAGCCACCAGGGCTTTTTTGCGCAAAACAATACCGCGTTGTCTACACTGGCCCTCTTGTGCAAATGATTTGCGCAAGAGGGCTTTTGCCCAAACGGGAGCAGCATAGCATTTCCGCAAGAACATATAGTATTTCCGCAAAAAGCACTGATTTCTTACAGTAGGAAGTCAGTGCTTTTGCGGAAATTCAAGAGGCCAGTGTAGACAGCTGGCAAGTTTTTCCGGAAAAGCGGCTAATTTTCTGGAAAAACTGGCCAGTCTAGACACAGCCCTGATGTTTAAAATTTACCTGAACAAAACCTCATTGCCAGTAATATAAAACCCAGGCTCCTATATACATGTTTAAAACCCTTATATTTTACCCAAAGGGCTGAGGGAAGTGATAAGCCACAGGGCACTTACAGGAGAAAGTGTCAGGGGGGTGAAGGGGAAAACCATTAAGAACATAAGAGCAGCCAAGCAGTGGCCTGTCTGCAGACAGTGGCCAATGCCAGATGCCCCCAAGGGAGTGAACAGAACAGGGAATCATCAAGTGATCCCTTTCCTGTCATCCATTTCCAGCCACTGACAAACAGAGGCCAGAGACACCATTCCTACCCATCCTGGCTAATAGCCATTGATGGACTTATCTTCCATGAATTTCTCTAGTTATTTTTTGTGCCCTATTAAAGTCCTGGCATTCACAACCTCCTCTGGCAAGGAGTTCCACAGGTTAACTGTGTTCTGTGTGAAAAAATACTTCCTTTTGTTTGTTTTAAATCTGCTACCTTTTCATTTCATTTGGTGACCTCTAGTTCTTATGTTATGGGAACAAGTAAATAATTTTCCTTATTCATTTTCTTCATACCTGTCATGATTTTATAGACTTCTATCATATACCCCTTTATTCTCTTCTTCTCTAAGCTGAAAAGTCCTAGTCTTTTTTAATTTCTCTTCATATGGCACCCATTCCAAACCCCTAATAATTTTTGTTGCTCTTTTCTTAAGCTCAAGTACAGCCTGAAAGTCTCAGAGGTTACTGTCAGAAGTCTGTGACCTTAAAAAAAATTGAGTAGTCCTGTAGCAACTCAGGGCGTGTCTACACTACAAGATTATTTCAAAATAACTCTCCTTATTTCAAAATAACAAGATGAGCATCCACACAGCAAGTCCATTATTTCAAAATTATTTCAAAATAATAACTTCTGCTTGTGAAGAGTAACACTTATTTCGAAATAGTTATTTCAGGAGTTCTTATTTCGAAATAGCTTATTTCAAAATAATATTGTAGTGTAAACATAGTCAGAGACTAACAAAATATATCTAGTATCATGAGCTTTTGTGGGCAAAACTCACTTCCTCTGATGTGCCTCAGCCTGAAAGTGCACATGCTTTACAGCCAAACCTTCTCAGCTGGGGAACACCCACCAATCCCCCGAAGGGACAGCACAAAGCTTTTTCACACAAGGGGCCCTAGGAAAAGAGGTTTGAAAGCTGACAGACACCAATGCGGCTTGTAACTCCACCAGCTGGGAATAAGCCTTTCTACTCCTTTAAGTGCCGGTGATGGAATGATGCCTCACCTTGGCCCTTCAGAACAGCGTGGGTGGAGGAGTGCCACAGTAAGCTGATTTAAGGTCAGACATTTGGAGTTTGGTCCCTTGATAACGCTACGGTTTCACTACATCATTTCCATTCCGACAGACACATGAATAATTGCTGTACCATCTGCAGGTACCTGTAGTCTGGCCTCCATTTAAGCCTTGGCTTTAATGCTCAGACTGCTCCAAACCTGTCCACTGGGACCGGGCTGAGGCTACCAAGTCATTTCACATAAGCCACCCAGCAAGAATTACTTTTGTCCAGATAAGCAAAATGCAGGACAATGTAGCACTTTAAAGACTAACAAGATGGTTTATTAGATGATGAGCTTTCGTGGGCCAGACCCACTTCCTCAGATCAAATAGCGGAAGAAAGTAGTCACAACCATATATACCAAAGGATACAATTAAAAAAATGAACAAATATGAAAAGGACAAATCACATTTTGCAGAACAGAAGGGGGATGCGGGGGGGGAGGTGGGAGGAAGGAAGGTAAGGGGGGGTAGGGGGGGAAGGAAGGTAAGTGTCTGTGAATGGCCTGGAAAGGGAAGGCTGAGCCCTTCCTTACTCCACCTGGCCATGCAGTCCCTCAAAATGCTTAACCATCCATTGCCCCACCCAGTGAGTGCCTCCCTCTGCTCATGGAACAAGTGAAATCCTCCTTGTACTTCTCAGAGTGACGAGAAGGGATGCTCTCCAGGTCCAGAATTAACACCATCCACAACAAGCTCAGGAGAGATGCATTTTTTCCAGCGTGCAGGTAGTCAGTGGCCATACACTGCACAGGCGATATACTGGGTTCTGCTGGGTGATAATAGACACTAGCTGGAAGCAGACTAGAATCCCACACTGTAAGTCAGCAGCTGTGAGTGTATTGAGGCCACGGACAACATGATTAGTCTCAACTGTATCACAGCTCTTAGCAGCTGCAGAATCTCACAGATTTTATGGCCAGAAGGGATCATTGTGATCATCTAGTCTGAATGCCTGCAAGGATGTGGCAAGACCCTGAGGCCTCCAGCACGGGGCTTTTGGGCCCAGGTCACCCCATCACACATAAATAACCATAAACAAAATTATGTTGATTCAAGAGCTTCTCCCGCTGGCATAGTGCCACCCCTTAGGGAGGAAGAGTACCTATGCCAATGGAAAGAGCTCTCCCATTGGCTTAGGTACCAGCTTGCCAAAGTGCTAGTGCAGCTCTGTACGTGTAAACAAGCCCTAAGTTCTCCAAAGAAATTCTTGCACCACCCAAAAAGAGTGCCTAAAGAACATTTTCACCACTATTGCTAGAGGAGGAAGTTTGCCATCAGGAGAGCCACATATCCCTGCAATAGCTCTTTAGGTTCAGGAGTCCTGAGGGCCAACTAGCCAGGTTGCTGGAAAAAGTGCAGTGCTACGATTCCATGGTCAAAGACAGGACAATAGCAAAGTCTCGTCCAGACAGCCTTGCTGGGAGAGCAAGGAATTGGTCATTTAAGGCAGGCAGGGAGAGATGTCTGTTCCCTCTCTT